TATTTTAATTATATTTTTACTATATATTAATTATATTGTAAATATATTTAAAAAAATTGAAATTTTCTGCAAAGTTATTCTCTGGCAATCTTCTTTAGATTTAAAGTAAATAAAAACTATGCTTCTTTTGTTGCTATTACTATTTTTGAGTATTAAGACTACTTTGACTTCTAATAGTCTTAGTTGTTATAACAATATTAATTCTAATGCTAATTTTAAAATATTTCTTATTATTGTCTTTATTTTCTTCTTTTTTCTAGCATCTCTGAGTTGAATCTTCTTGATATAATTCTATACATTGTTCTTTTTTCAAAATGTACCAACTAACTTGACACTAAAGAGTCTAGTCTCTTTTGATTCTATCTAGTAACTTGTACTGCTGCTGCCTTAGTTTTTTTAGAGTTTTCTATTTGAGAATTTTTTTATAAAAGCTTAGACACCTTGTAACTCTTTTATATTTTGCATTTTTTGGTAAATTTTATAATGTTAGCATTATTGATAAACCATTTTTATATTCAATTTATTCTTTTTATTCTTGTTTCTGTCTTAGTGTTTTATTTTGTATAAAGCTTTTTAACTTGCTTTTATTAGCCTATATAGAATCATTTATATTTTTTAGTGCCTATTTTGATGTGTAAATGTTTTCTTGAATTCTACTTTTTGTTCTTTTTTTTTTTTGTTATTAACTTTTTATTTAAGATTATTATATTTCAAAAGCATGAATCTCTTGACTCTTCTGTTTCTATATTATATATATCATATTCTGTTATTAGCAATACTATTTTATCTTTTATTCTTGCTTTTTTATCTGAGTTTTTAAGAATTTTTTTTTCTGTTTTATTCAAAAGCACTTTTGTTTGTTTATTAGTTCTATTATTTTTTTTTTTATTAATTATTTTTATTTCATTTTTTGAGTGCCTACTTTCTTGAATTATCAGTTGTGTTATAGATGCTTTTAGCTCTATTATGTCTTTACTTTGGTAGTTTTTATTTTTAACTACTCTGTTGTTTAACTTTTTTATTTTTTTTGTCCATCTTTAGTATCTTTTTCTGCTACTATATATATTTTTTATATAAGTTTCTTGACTTACTAATTGTATTGTTGATTAATATAGCATAATTTTTTTATTATATAATTATTGTATAATAAAAAATTAAATAAAAAATTAAATAAAAAATTAATTAATAAATAAATTTAATAGGTAAATAAATTAATAAATAATTCTAAAATTTTTTTAATTACTTTGTAATATTGTAAAAATTTCTAATTATTTTATAATATTATAAAATTTTTTAATTATTTTATAATATTACAAAATTTTTCTAATTATTTTGCAATCTTATAAAATTTTTTTGATTATTTCACATTATTGCAAAATTTTTTGATTATTTTGCAATATTATAAATTTCTTTTGATTATTTTGCATTATTATAAAATTTTGAGCATTTCTATTTGTATACGGGATGTTCAAACACAGGATTATTATATCACGTAATACAATATAATTTTGCAATATAAGATTTAGAATTGATAAAAATAAAACTAGCATCAATCTTAGTATTACTGTTTTAAAAAATTTTACTAACAAATCAGTTTTTAACCCTAAATTATTAGCAACCTTTTTAGCAAAATTGTTAATTTGGCAATATTAAAATTCTCTACAGCACTACTTAAAAAAAATCAAACACAAACCTAATATATAAATATAATACAACTCATTCTAATTATAGTGAACTCTAATAAGTATAATAATAATTATATTCTAGGCAGTTAGGTATAAGTAGAATTTTGCAATAAGTATAATCAGCCACATAAGCAACTGATTACACTTTACTACAAAATTTTACTTATATACAACTACACAGGATATAACTAATTTATCTTCTGCTATCTATATAACATAACTTTTATGTACTTATTTTAAAGTAAAACCTTTATTTTATGCATTGTTTTTATATTTAAAATTAAATAGAATAATATGCTCAATCCTCTAAATTAAATAGATATATGTTCAGTAGAAATAAGTACATGAAAAAAGTTATGTAGATGGGGTTGGCCAGAGGATAAAATTTTTTTATTCTGATAACTTCACTATAACAATCTCACAAATAAAATTTTGTGCAGATTCTTTTACATCAGCTTTGAACACTTCAAATATATAATACCTGCTTTTGAAACACTAATACTAAACACTCTATAACTTTTAATCTTACCCTCTAAATTATAACCATAAACCCTAATCTGTAACCTCCAATTCTATTATAAGTATTACACTTAACCTCAAAAAATCAATACTAATTAAACTAACAACTTAACTAAATATTCTAAAACTTATAATATATTATGAAATTAGTGTAATCATACAATTCAAACAACAGCTCATTTTTGATATTGAAATGCTAGTCTACATGTCAATACTGTAATAGTTAAATTAGAAATTAATTATTGAATTATCAACAACTACAGTATAAATATATAAATTATACTTACTTATTCAGGCATGTTTTAGTATAATGTCCAAACTGTTTGCATTTTCCACATTTTCGGCCTTTGAGATCATTTCCAATATCTATATTGAGATTTTTTATTAAGCTATTATTCTGTTTATTCATTTGAATATTTAAATTTGTATGATCATTCAGCTGATGTTTGATTTTGCTGCCTTGTTTAAGACTGGATTTAAGTCTCTTGGAAGGGTGTTCCTTATGTTTCATAATATTAGGATTGTTAACATTACCCTCATCTTGATTTTGACTCTCATTTATTTTGTCTTCTGCTTGTCAAATAAATGTTTTGAGAATATTGGACAATTCTGAATATATGTTATATTTAATTGCAATATCAATTGCTTTTTTAGAAAGTCTAAATAACTCTGCATATATCACTTTAGAAGGTTGAGAGGTTAACCGAGAATTAAAGACATTAAAACAAATCGAAAATAAATGTTGCAGTGTAATATTCTGCATAGTTTCAGAAACCTCTTGTTCAGATTTCAAAATAGAGATGGCAGAGATCTCTTCTAATAGATTATTTATATTAACCTTAGAATCTGAGAACCACTGACTTGGAATCAAAGTTATATAAATGTGGCCAATAAAGAATATATGCCAACATGAAAAAAGTGGTAACAAATTTAGCCTTTATTAATTAAAAGAAGGCAACTACACAAATGAGAGCCATTCTTAAGCAGTATAACATAATGTTCATGCCTATTATTCCCTATAGTGCACATATGCCATACTTGAAGAATTTTATCAGATGCTAAATCTTGTATCATTGATGTAAATAAAATCTGGTATATGTCAATATCCTGCTCTTTAATCCAAAGGCTGATCTCTGTACTATTAATATCAGTCTATAAAATTATATTAATATTAAAACTATAAGTAAATAAAGCAATAACTTAAAATTTTTGCAACATAAATAATACTTTTATATTAGTACTATCAAGAAAAAACTAGAATTTGAGTTTTCATTTATACTTTGTATTAAATACAATCACTAATAAATCAAATAAATTGTATCTGATACAAAATATAATTGAAAGCCCAAATTCTGGATTTCTCTTGATAGCACTTATTTATACTTCATATGATATTATTCACATTATTGATTTGTATAGTATTACATTAGATGTGTTTTTATAATAAAAAATTCAAACTTACTTTAATCAAATCATGCCATTTATGAACATAAATAATATTATAGCATATACTCACATTTATTTGGTCTCTTTGCTTATTGAGAATGTTAGGCATAAGAAACCTTTCTAATAATTTATCAATATTAAAAAAAAAATGATGATTCAACATTAGTAATCTAACAGTTAGAATAGCATTACATTGTATCACAAATTTCATTAAATGTTCATCTTGTTTAATAAAATCATTGAGGCTATTTAACAAGTCATATAAAGAAGTTACTAAACTAGTCATGGCAGAAAAATGTCGCGATCATGTGATCGACAATTAGTTTCTGACCCGGCCAATCATTGATCATATTACTATAACTTAATGTTACATCAAGTAAGAGATTATATTCATTAAACTTGAAGTTATATATAAACTAGGAAAATGGGATCCATTAGGCACTTCATATTAGTAAATGAACTTTTAAAGTTATTAATCATAATTTAACTACATCATATTAATCTAATTCACATTGCTAACTTGCCTTTAAATATTTATTTTACAGAAGTTAATAACTTTTACATTTTTATAAAGTATATAGATAAGTATATAATAGTTATACGTTTACACTAAAAAATTTTCACTAACAAACTATAAATTAATAGATCTACTAAGCAATGTAAAGTATTGCTCTCTTGCATAATAGATCACAAAAATTTAAATAATTAGTTCTCCTTATATCTTAATGTTTAAGAAAATAAATTAAACAATCTTAATGTATAATACGTCATATACCAATAAATCAAATGCTATATTTAAACCTTAAATTTATAATACACATCATATGCCACTGAAATCTGCAAATAACTTTTTATCTTATTTTGGCTCCCTGGAATTCATAGAGAACCTAATATCTCTACCTATTGTCTGGACTTGAGTTCTTTCACTCTGCTCCAGAAATAATTTCAGTTTAACTGATCACCCCGTGTGAATGACGAAGCGAGGAATTATATTCATAACATATATTTTAGAGTAAATACAAAATAAATAATTTATTGTTGATTGACTACATAGTGTGAAGGATTAACATGTAACATTGATAGTTTCTCATGTTAAAGAAACATTTAAATCAGTATAAAAAAAAAATTGATCTTTTACATAATTAATTCTTTTTAGAATTACTTTATTTAAAAAGCGCAGATTCTAATTCTATTTATTGTTTTTTTTAACATAAATGTTTATTGCATTTGCAACTACAGATAAGAAAACAATAAAACTAATGATATTGAAGTAGAAAAAAAAACCCTTTTCAGACTCCAAATCATAATATTGGTTGAATATTGATATAATAATATGATGATCAACCTGATAAGATATTACTGTAACCAGAAAACCAATTTTTTATTTTTTGGTAGGTTCCAAGTTTGTTGCTATTTTTTAGCATTTAAAGCTTCAGTGCAGGCGAGTGTCTCAGTAACAAGAGGTTGTTTTAAGGTCTTGTATACTTCAAAAAGTTTGTCATTATTAATATTTTCATTCATAATTTTTACTAAAATTTCATATACTTTCATATCTTCTATTAATTCTGCTTTCCTGCTTTCGATGATTGCATATTGAGCTGAAATAAAAGTTCTTATATTACTATTAAGTGTTCTTTCTGATCTTTCAACCTCTGAACTATTATTTTGGAAAGCATTATTCTATGGATTATTATCAAAACTAATTCTCAGAAGGTTTAATGCACCAAATACAATTAGTAGATAATTATGTCATCTTTTCGTAGCAAGAAATCTGAGAAAAAAGCCAGGATTTTCCATGGTATATTTATTTATTAGATGCTTACATATCAGATAGAGGCTTTTAATAAAAGCAGAACATGAACAGACCCAGATATTTGTATTAGTATGATATCTGTCTTCTGCATCAATATCTTTTTCTAAAGTGGCTTTCTAATCATGTTTAAATAAATCCCACTATGATGGAAGATCGCGATTATAGCAGTACCTTTGCCAAGTATATTCTATATCAGGTACTAATTTTTTTGTAAGAATTTGAGTTAGGCAGTCAAGATGTGATCAGTTGCATTTGTACTTGTAATCATATTTTAAAATATGCTAATGTGATTCAGTGATCATGGTAGTTCTGACTATCAGCATGGCTTTAGAATAGAATGCTTGGGCAAAAAGTGTCCAGTTCTTCTTGTTGTACCAGTTCACCCATAGATACCCCTATAGCTTAGAGAGATTCTTCTGCCAACAAAATTGGTAAGTTTCTAAAATGCTCTGATAATAGATTTGTTCTGTTGTTAGAAAAATATCTTTATCTACCAGAATAAGTGGGTGTAATACTGCATGTTTTTTGATCATTTTTAATATTTTGTTTATAAATTCTTCAGGGCATAAAGCATTTTGTTGTCTATCTGAAAGCCAGGTCGAATCTATAAAGGTGAATTGTTGATATGCCTCATTCACTTTTTGTACAGAATACTGACTTCCATGGGATTTTTTTTTCTTTAGTTTACGTTCAATTGCATGTTCTACATGCCAAAGACAAAGCTGGATTATTGATGTCTGAGACCATGCATTCTGAACAGCAGAAATTTCACCAGAGTCTTTGTCCAAGAGCATGAATGATGGTAAAACACCTTCACTTTACAAATTAACAAAAAACTCCTTAAGCACACCAACCCAGGTGTGTACAACATTATTGGGATCCAAAAGAAGTTTTTCTAATGCTGCATATGTATCCACATATAAATACGTGAGTGGAATACCATACCCACCACAATTAATGTTTACTGAAAATAGTTCAAATCATTCTTGATTCGTTTTGAATATCAAATCAATAACGATTTCACTAATTTGATCTTTTTCCAAGTTATAAAGAATGGGGTTGTGAATCCAAGTGAGCATACAAAAACATTCTCTCGATATTGAATGACTTTGTACCCTGCACTTTCTAGCTCTTTTTGTTCTAAGAAATTTTTTGCTGACTTTACTTGATTGCTTATATCAGATATGTATAGTTTTGCTAAAAGCTTGTGCACCCAATAATAAACTTGTTGATAAGTATGAATTGATAGGTCAATTAGATTTTCATCGCAAAGTCTTTTATAAAACTCAGCTCTTCATGAGCTATGATTAATGTTTTGTGTTATCCAAGCTATAGCACTTGCCAGTAAATTTGTTTCTCTATATGTGGGATGCTTATGAGCGATTAAATGCTTTATTGATATTTTAGCATGCTGCTCACATAGGTCTATTTTGATTGTTATAGTGTCATGACATAGATAGCGTTCAATAGCAGGACGCACTTTGCTTACCCACTTCACAGATTGTTCATCTGGTTTTTTATACTTATATTCAAGCTTTTGTGTGCAACCTAGATGGGCTGTTGCACATTCTATATATTGCCCATTTTTTTTATTGACATACAAGTATCGAAGCTTCCAATAATAACCTGATCCAGGGGTGTGGCGACCTAGTGAAGTGGATAGGTTGTCAACTCCCAAGTGGCAGGTCTAGAGTTCAAATTCCAGTGATGGTGAAAATTTGCAATTCTTTCTGTATTATGGCTAACTGTCTTTCATGATTGGTTAGAATAGGATACCTGTAACCTATGTCATACCAGCCTGACTGGAAGGTCTAGACATTTATACAATATTGTATGAAGGAACACAAACTGGTACCAGGTAGTGTGAACCCAAGATAAGTTCTTGGGCTGTGTAAATCATAGAAACCAGGTAGGAAGACAGAAGCCCACTTGGAAGATCCAAATAGAAAGGTAATCTGAACTTTCAACAGTACTACTGTAAAGACTAGACCTATGAAATGAAGCTAGAACTTGTGAAACCAGGTAAAGAGCCAGCCTTTGAGGTGGGGCCGAATGGAACCAACCAGACCACTGGAATTTCTGAGTTCTGAAAAAAAAGGTTACATGCCAGCAAATATGTAAACCAAAGGTGTATAGTTACAACCTGCCTTTCTGAGCTATCTGGTTTAGGAGCTTGATGGAACTTGAATTGAATATCAAAGTAGTAGGGATATGTTGTGAAGTCAGTACCAGGGTTGGGGTGAACTTTACAAGGGCATAGCAGTTAAATGATATGCCCTGACTGCCAGTATTGGTCTCGATTATAATGATACCGGGTTAGCTGTAAGAATGGAATACAGAAGATTCTAGAAGGTTTAGTACAAGGTCAAAGGTTTCCTATATGAGTAAACTGCTTTAAAGACTTAGTGACTATGGCATATTTGTATTAGTATCAACTAGGGCATCTTGGTAGGTGTAGGTAGGTGGGTGAATATAGGAACAGAGTAGTTAAATAGGGAACTTACAAGTAGGTTTCAGGTATGGCAGCTAGTATAAAACCTTCAGACAGACTACTTAAATTAGACAATGACTAAAGTTGTATGAGTGGCTAGTTGTACACTCTTTCTATAATTGTCCTCTGTAGTTGTAATGCAACCATTAGCTGAATGTAGTATTAATAAAATCCTGAGTCACAAGTACTCACTTTAATATTTAAAAAAAAAAAAAAAACATTAAGCTCTAGGGGGTGTAGTGACCTAGTAAAGTGGTCAGGTAGTCAATATTCCAAGTAGTAGATTGGGTTTTTAAATTCTATTGATAGTAAAAATTTGGATAATCACTTATATAATATTTGTATTACAACAATTGTTACTAATAATTGAATTAGAATATCTGTAATGGCAGTTGCACTAGCATGACTGGCAGGTTATAAGGCATCTGTGTAAGTATAGCATTATACAAAGGAATGCAAATTGACAAATCAGATAATGCAAACACTATATAAGTTCTTGTGATCATGTAAATTTGTTGAAATTAGGTAACAAGAAGTCTATTTGTGAAGACCTGAATAGAGAGGTAGCTGAATTTTTAATAGCTTTACTATAAAGGCTAGCCTGAGGAAATGGATATCAAGGTCATAATACCTAGTCATAGTAGCCAGATGGGCAAGAACCTTCAGGTTGGGAGTTTCAGAGATATCACCAACCAGGCTGTCAGAACGAATTGGAAGAAAAGAATATCAGGCCAACCCAATAACTAATAGACTGGTTGTAGTTCTACATAGACTATTTGAATTAAAAGTTTGGTAAAAAAGCAGA